TGGAAACTGTCAAAGGGGTGAAAATAGCCAACGTTGCCATCGATAAAGCAGTTCAATGCTGGTTTAAAGCATTACTTTGTCAGCACGATAGAATATTTGGGCATGGTTTAAGTGTTTGTGTATTTTAATGAATGAAGTTTCAGCCATGCCTACTTCTTCCTTTGGTGGACTGAGAATGACCTTATGATACCAGCCATATCTTTAAACGACCTTCCGATGACGCAAATACCCAAAAAGATATCGCTTTAAAATCCATTAAATACTTAATTTCACTTTGCTATTTTTGCATAATATTAACCTTACATTTTCGCTGTGACTTTTTACATAATCGCCACATTCCACAAGCCGTGGATGCGGCGGCACAACTTCCTTTCACTTGACCACTTTTTTTTTTTTGCATACAAACCACTTTTGTCGGGTTCCGACTCCGCGTAGAAACCCAACCCCCAAGATTATGAGTAAATTAAGATTGAATCAAGTTTCCATTGTTTTAATGTATTTTAATCAAATATTTTTCTCTATTTCTTTACAGGTGAGTCATTCAAGCATTATGGAATATTAAAAGCAAATTAGATTATAAAGAGTAAGTAGATGTCCGGGTTTTACGAGTATCTGTCTGTATACGATCTCTGGTCAAGCGAAAGTTATGGCCCAGTTCTCGGTTTTTCGTTGATCTTTGTGTGTGCGCTATGCGCTGCGCAGTTGATAAACAACCACTTGAGTGGAAATTTATGACAAGTCGCAAAGAAAAAGAAAATTAAAATTTTAACAACCTTAAAGCGTGTGAAAAGTCAGGCCACCAGACACAATCTGAGAGATAAAACATGTTTGTGTGGTGGGTGGGAGGGTAAAGAAAGGAATTGTAATGAAAAGTGCTGTGTGGAAAAATTTTATTATAGATTTCACTTTCACAACGAGAAAAACCTTTGGCGACAGACATAAGGCAGGCAGCACAGGAGCGTGCCAGAGCTTATGGGTTGATGGACAGTTTGCAGGAGGGGTGTGGTATCGGAAAGTAAAGTTTACGAGTCGTATGCTTGATGACGTTTATGACATTTCTCGACCCAACCCAACCCAACCGACACGACAGCCCTTCATCGTGGTGTGATGCTTATTAAAAAGGGTCAAATCATGATGCTGACGTTGGAACATTGGAACGAATGGTTGGTCATCAGAGAAGAGCAGACAGTAAGTGTGGGGAACAAATTGGGTCCTTGGTCCACATAAGCATACAATATATTTATCCCATTTCTGTCTCCAGCTCTCAGAAGGTGTCTACTTTGCTTGTGGAGACGGGAAGGCATTCAATTTAGCTTATCGATTTGATGGGAAATATTATTATTGTAGGAAATCGATTGCTGTTTGAACTTTGTATAAATCCAAATCAATTATTAAAACATAATTCTGAATGTACAAAACCTGCGGCTATGGGAAATTCAAGCAGAGAACCCACAAAATTAGCATTATTCGAATGCTCGACTCGTAATCCACAAGCCACAAATATTCTAAAACAACTTACACGTCATGTGCATGACGAGGTATTTATGTTGATATTTTTTTGTCGTTGCTTTCCAATTAACAAAATTCCTGCTTACCGCTGCCTTAGGGCATTCTCGAAGCTGTAAAATTTGATATTATTAACCTTTGACCTTTTGCAACAGGCTGTACACCCGAAAGCAAACAATTTTTCTCCTTCAGCTACGTTTCTCTTCATCTTTCCCCGCCCCGCCCCACCTTGTCCTGCCAGTCCCTTTCACCTTCTTCACTTGACTAACCTCATCCGTTACTCCTCTGCTTTTCTTGCCTTTCCTTTACGCTCTTCTCTGCTCCTCGCATCTTTGGTTGCTCTCTTTCATACATTGTCTTTGTCATCGTTGTCATACGCACAGCACAGCAGAGCAGACACACTCATACACTGGCACAAGTTTGACAGCCATTGGGTTTCACTTTTTTTCTTCTCTCATCTTCTCCTTCGCTGTTGCTGTTGCTGCTGGCACGCGATGCGTGTGCCACTTGTTTGTGGAGCCAGAGTAACCGTCGATGTGTTGCTGTTGTTGTTGTTGCCAGGCATTGTCATTAATCATTGCCAGTTAAACAATAACAAGGCAGAGCAACAGCAACAACAACAACAACAACAAGAAGGTGTGTGCAAAGAGTCTTGAAAATTGTTGGCATTTCTTTCCGCCAGTGACCCAGAAACATTTCTTCGCTGCCATCTCCCCCATTCCACCTGCCCCCCCTACATTCTGCTTACACTTGAGAGTGATTAGAATTTTTTGCAAATGGAGAGTAAAAGAGACAACGTAATGGAGAGCAAGAGCTAGAGGTTCCCCCTTATTGATTTGCCTGTGACTCATTTGGGAGTTTTCGGTGAATTCCCGCTTCTCCATATTAATTAAATGAAGTGAAATCTGGAGTGATTAGAGCATTTTGTGCGGTAGGTGGAAGATACTTGCTGTTTTTGTATTTGTATCTGTTGGATTGTTCGAGAATATTTCGTGCCAAAGCTGAGCTTTCGGTTCATTCTTTTGTAAAGAATGCTTTGGTTTGCCTTTTACTTTGTCTGGTTGTTGATTCTGCTATATTTTTAGAAAGATTTAGACGACTACGTATTGTGGGGAAAGCTCTCTAGAGCGATACACCCAAATCGAACCGGATAGTAGAGTGGAGCAGGTCATTTTCATTGAATTTCTCACAAATATGACTCTAACTTTGAACTTTGAGTCATATTTCACGATAGAACCATAATGGTTATGCTTATTTCCATACTGATTATCTTGTGAGTCACTTGATGCAGTAATTCTTACGTTTTTCCGTATTACAAGCCTCATTTGAGTCATATTTTTTGGCTCAGACAAACCCCATGTTTTTTTATGATTCAGATACGAAACGAACAATGAAACCTGCTTAAGGTATCTCTGTCTGTTTTAAATATGAACACTAAATGTAGAACACTAATTTCAACTGCACAAAGTAAATACAAAATTCCTAACACAAACTCGGATGGGAAAATATTTAATTTTCACTTTACCCATAGTGTTGGGAATTATGGTGTTTTATAGGGGTTTTTAGATTTACTTCACAGTTAAGGGCAATCCACCTGTTGAATCATCTATTGCTCATATACTGCTTGCACTGCTTGCACTGCCTGGAAGCCGCTTATTGTCTTGTGATCTTCTGATCTCTTGTTGAAGCTTTTTTTTCGCTGCAGGAATTCACAGAACGCCAAAATTAAGCCTTAAAAGTCCACCTCCATAAATGGAGGAAAGTTTCTTATGTATGTATAAGTTTGAATGTTGTAGGTGTATTGATATCCCTCATGCATATGGTTTTTCTTTTGATTTCGTGCATTTATTTCGAAATATTTATCTTTCTTTTTCTTGAACTTTTCTGCCTACATTTGTGTATCTCTGTATCTGTATCTTCATCTGTTTGTGTATCTTACATAGCTCTTACCTTTTTTGCCCGCCTTTTTTATTATGAAGCTTATTTTATTACACACACACAGCGTTGTCTCTCGGCTGCGCTTGCATTTGTTTTCCATCTCTTTCTCCGTCTGCCTGTGTGCTGGGTCTCTTTCTGGCAGCAGCACCAGCCAGCCACCAGCAGCTGACGGACAACGGCGTTATGTGAAAAACCTGCCTCAAGGTTATTGCCTTATACCCGAAACCCAAACGAACGAAAGACGAAAAAAAAGAAGACAGCGTGCAAAAAAAAAAATACAAACAAATTTCTCCATTACACGATGAGGCTTTCGTGTTGTTGTTTTTGCTGTTGCTGTTTGTGTAATTGCTGCTGTCGTGGTTCTTCTCTGCTGCTGTTGTTGCTGTTGCCTTTTCTGGTTGAAATCAGCTCTCATTTAGCCTCTCTTTTGTTGTCTGGCTGCTCTCTCGCTCTCTGTGGATTCCACACACAAACACAAAGAGAAGAGCAGAAAAATACTGAAACTTATCGAGTTCATTATCTTTTATGGAGACCCGCTCCCCTCTCCATCCAGCTGCGAGTGCCCCTGTGCTGCACCTCTTCAAGCAAATAATAAGGTCAAGGATTTTCATACTTTTGAGTGACGCCTCAAACAGTGTACAATTAAGTTTTGCTAGTTTAATTATTTGTGCATGGATTGATCATTCATTTATAATAACTGAGAAGACTATAATTAATTCATTTTAAAGTCAATTTCTTTTCCACAACAGCTGCTGCGGCTCCTTCTTGAAATGTGATTCAAGGAACCTTTTGCTAAATGCCTTCCGATAATTTTTCATTAGAAGCAAACCAAACAAACAAAACGAACAAAATATATATATTAAATATATTTAGTTAATTGTGGGCTGCTGTGGTCGTTCGACTCTCTCCCTCTACTCCCCCCTGCCATTGTTATTTACGGCACAAACTGTCATCAGTGTCAAAAGCAGCAGCACGCTACAGACATTGGGTCGACGTCATTCGGTCATTTGTCAAAAGAAAAGAGAGAGAGACAAAATGTATCGTACACAAGGAGAGCACAAGAGGCTCAGGCAGACAGACAGACAGACTGGCAGGCAGGCGGGAGATGAAAAAGAGAGTTGCCAAAAAATAGGAGAGTGTATTGTGCGTGTATGTGTACGTGAATCCGCAAACAAGCGAATGAACGGTAATGAACGTACAACGCGTCGCGTCAACTGTGATGACGTAGGAGACGAGAGACTCGCTAGGCCGTAAGGCAGGAGTTTGATGGTCTGTTGAAAGGGTCTACGAACCTGGTGATTTTCCCCTCAAACCTCAGCGAACTTTTAAGTCGAGTTCCGTTGTGTGCTCTACATAGAAAAATATTTAATTGAAGAACCGAAAAATCTTTTTCTTGAGCATTAATTTTCCCCAATCGGAATATTCAGATTTGGCACAAGAAAACTATTTTTATTTGAGAACTAAACAGTTATTTAATTAATTTTATATTCTGTTACTGTTTTACTTAAATTATATCATGTGATATTTGATTATAACTTCTATAACAGAGTCCCTGTTATATCGAAATAACATTCTACCAACATTCTCTTCTCCTCTTTCTCTTCGATTGCTCCTTCAACTGTTCTTGCGCAAATTAAAGTGGCATGCAGAAGTAGGAGAAGTTTTTTCCAAAGAAAATAAACCAAGAAAAATGCCAGCGCACACACTCTCACAGGAGTACAACTCCAGAGAAAGAAGCGTACGCGGAGGAGCAGTCCGAAGAGAGAAAAGTGTGGAGAGTGTGGAGACAGGAACAGTACCGCCTCGCTTTCGTGTTGGCAGAAACTAAAAAGTAGCAGCAAAACAAGATGATGAGTCTAAGTGGTTAAATAAGTTGAAAAGTCAAAACTGGACGATGCGTTCGGTCTCGGGTCCTCGTACGGGGGGGTTTCAGGGCAGCGGAGAGCGTTACTTCAACCAGCTGTTCAGCTGTTCGGAAAGTTGTGTGTAAGTTTTGCGCCTCGATGTTGTTGCTGTTAGTTCTCCATTTGCTGGGTGCCCCCTTTGCCTTTTGATTAAAGGATGGAGGAATTTGTAAGGAGCTGACAGACAAGCTGAGAGGTCCTCTTGAGCTAAGCCTCCAGAAAGCACAGACATGGCACACAAGAGGCTGAGGTCAAGCAGAGTTGCTTACAAAATACAGTAAAGGTGATGGAGCGGTGTGTGTGTGTGTGTGTGTGTATGAATGGGGTCTATAAATGCCTGGATAAACCATTTGTTTGTAGACTTGTCAGGGGTTTTGCTTGAAGATCGATTACTAAACAGGTATCAGTTTTCATTGTTGGGAAATCGATCACAAACCAACTTTAAAGTCCAGTGTAGGTAAACCATCTATAGTGTTGAATGAACCGTTCGCAATTTATGTGTACCATTTATTCGCATTTCTTCAAATTGAATTTTGGCACTGTAAAGCAGTCGAACAGTGAGAGAGCAAGAAATAACAAGAAGCAACCAACCACTTGGGCCAAATAGAGCGAAATGCGCCGAACACAGCCAGCGCCACAGAACACAACAACAGCAACAGCAGGCGCAGGCACAGGCACAGGCAATTGGTTGTAGAAATAGAAAGGGGGTAGGGGGTAGGGGGCAGTGGGCAGAGCACGGGGCGAATCAACGGGCAATGGTAAAATAGAAGAAACACAAGATTTTGCCAACAACAAACAAAACAGCAGACGAAATGTAACTGCCGCCGGCAGCTAAAAAGCAACAGCAACAGCAGCGGCAACAGCCACAGTCTGAACTCCATGCACAGCTAGAGATGGGAGCGATGAGGCACGCGTCAACACTCACGCAGGGAATAAAAACGTTACACCTGTGTGCCGGGCTGGTCCACTTGTGTTAGTGTTGAAGGCCACTCAAAATTAATATTTATTTATTTTCACTGATTTACTTAAGTTTTCCCCCATCTCTAACTTTGGCAAACCCAACGACAACTGTTGGAGTGGAGACAAAGCGTGGAGAATAAAACATGGGAGAGTAGAAAGGGGGAGAGCTACATATAAATGGAGACGATTTAGAGACTGGGAAACTTGTGAGCATAAGGTCGTCCGTTTTGGTTGCCAAATGTTTTCCATCCTCCCACCTCCTCCTGCCACTGTGCAGTGTCGCATGCCCCCCGTGCTTGTGGAAACCAAAACCAACGCGCGCCGCCGTTTCCTACATTTTTGAAGTTCCCTTTGAAGAGAGTTGTGGGTGGTTTCCCCCGTCCCCAGTTCCAGTGTTCACCGACTGAACATTTGATGAGTTTTTAATTGGTAGTTCTTTTCCCCCTCTACGCGTTCCTGTCCCTGTCTCTGTCTCGTTTCTCTTTTGCGGCGCTTTTAAAGTGGCAGCAAGGTATGGAGTTTGGGGCGTGGTATCGCAGCTATCCCTCATAGAGAAGATGAGGATAGCAACCTCTTGAAGCAAGAAATTAGTTTGCAGCCAAGATTTGGCATGGTCAGACACTGTCTCTATGTAAATACAAGCGCTGGATGAAATTAAATTAACTCATTTTGAGGAAGGAAAGAACAAACTCCTCAAAATTAAACATTAACAAATGGCTGAAGAACTCTTAAGAAATTAAAGGATAACAGCCCTAATTTGTATTAGCCAGAACTGCTCTATAAATCCTTTTTAGTTGAGCGCTTTCATTATGCTGTTAACCAACACTGAGCTAATGTAAACCGACATCCGAATGGCCAGAATGGCCACCCTCCCCCATTTTGGACTAAATTACACTGTGCCCCATATCTCCACCGCTGCTCATATAAATTAGCCGAACGTGTCACAGACATTTGTGTCATTGTCAGCCGGTTCTAACTGAACCACTCTCTACCCTCTCTCGCCCCCAAAGGCCTGCTGCTGCTGGCCCAGCACAACCCACCATCATCGGGCTGCACAGTCATCTTAATGATGTTTTGGGTGTGAAAAATTATTGACCACTCTCTGGGTTTTTGGTCTTAATTGACATGGGTTGCTGCCACATTCCGAGGCCATGTGTTGCTGTTGGTTTTATTGTTATTGTTGTGACTGTATTCTGTATATCTGTATCTATTTGTGCCAGTTTTTTCGCTTCGCTTCGAACCCCATGAGCCATGATTAATGATGAGTTTTTGGTGTCATTTATATAATTCTTTTTCGCTTCAACAGAATTGCCTTAGAGGAGTGATTCTAGAGGTGTTTCTATTGGGGTTTCCGGTTAACCCTTAACCTTTTAAAGGAGTTTATTTTATGGTTACAATTCTCATATCGATTTATTTGCTCTGGCTTAAATATTTTCCCCACTGCATTATTGTATTTCCAGCATTTTCCTGGCAATTGAATTTAATCGTTTTGACATTTCTCTGCCATGTATTCTCGTCCGCGAAATGCTAACTGATGTGATTAATTTATGCTGTTGCTGTTGCTGGTCTCCCTCTCTAAATCCCCACTGAATGAAATGTATATTATTTGATGTTACGTTTGGGAAACAAAAAAGTAACATCGAAATGCATTCAGCGTAATTCGTAACTCGTGAGTTTCAATGGGGAGTCCATGCGGGGCAGCTTACAGAAGGAAATCCGATAACGAGCAATTAAATAAATAAACTTTTGTGGTTTAAAATCCCTCTCCGTGCCTCTCGCGACAGATGCAGCCAATCGGAAATGTCTGTTTGGTTGGGGTAGGTCCAGGGTTTGTTTTTTTTTTTTTTTTTTTAAACAATGCCATTAAAGTGCACTCTTTTTTTTTAATTTTTAATGCAATTAGTTTCCAAGTAATTTAACAGGAATTTAACTAGCAATTGAAATTTAATTCTGGTATAAAAAAGTGTTCAATGTTTTCAATTGGCAGAACATACAAATATTCTCAACTTCATATTTTGTACTAAAAGTGAACGTTTTGAATATGTTCTCCTCTCGTTTGTAGCAGTTTTTCCTTCTCCATAATGCGCCTGCTCATTGTATAAATGCAGTTGACAGATTTCGACCAGGCAAACACTTTTGCTAACTCTTTTGATTGAACTAACTTTGTCCATGCCTCAGCTTTTGGCTGGCACTTGCAAATATTCTCAAAATGACATAAGAAATTGAAGCGGCTTCCGCTGCTGCCTCACATTTTAGAAGCATATTTGTATAACTTTTCACATCATTTCGTAAAGTTCACAAAAGGCCAAAGAAACTTTTCAGTCAGACGCAAGACCCAATGCCGTATACGAATTGGGGAAGACCCGATGCCATCGATCGACCTACAAGGAACTTTGTCTATCTAACCTGCCCTGGGGCTGGGGCTGTTGTTGCACTACAGCCACAGGCTGCATTTAATGTGTGTCACTTAATGCCAACTTAAATCAATTGAAATGTCAATTACAACAAAACATGAGACGAAACGGAGACCCAACACTGAAGGAAACCCAAACAGAAACAAAGTTTGGAGAAAGAAGAAATTGACTCGAACTGAAGGTGAAATCAGAAATAAAGGAAGTGCGGAAGTGCGGAAGGGTTTGTCGTCGTCGTTGTCAGACTATTGATGTTGACTGGCTGCCATCCCAGGGGCTTCTTTCTTTTTTGCTATATTTAGAGTCACGAGGGGAAGGGACAAACAAAAGTGCAGCTGTGACGCTTTTTGGATACTCTTGCTTGGATACCCTAATATTTATTTCCAACTTCCTAACAGACAGGCTTTTATCTACTTTTTGGCTTCCGTTTTATAGCAAAAGTATTCAAATTCAAACATCAAACTAATATCGTTGAACCCTGATGAAAGTGTAGGCCATTCAATGGTTCTTCCTTTCGCTTTGGTTGTAACTTCGAGAACAGGTTGACATCACAAGTTTTAGTGTTTTTTGTAGTTCAAATGTCGTTGTCGTTGTCGTTGTCGTTGTCTGGGCGGGTCTGGTAGGCTGGTCTGGCTTCCGTTGGTAGCGCCATTCTACCTTCTGCAAATTGCCGAGGACATCACTTGGTCTGGTTACTCAGACTAGGAATTAGCACACAGGACGAAAGTTCTTCTCTACAGGAGACGTAGAATAAACATGAAACGAACTTGCAATTACAGAACTCTCTGCTTTCTGTGACAGAAAAAAAGTTTCGTCAAAGTCGTCCTCGTGGATTGTTTTCCTTTTTTTAATTTTGTATTTTCTTCGTTTATTTTTTATCAAGGTTTTTTGCAGTTTCTCTCTCTCTCTCTCTCTCTCTGTTCTTTGCTCGTTTGCAGTTTATTTTGCTTGATGGAATTTTCCTTTTTATTTTATTTGAAAAACCCCAAAAAGCGGGAAGCTCCATTTCAACTTGCGTTTAACCTAAATCAAATCAAATGAGCGAAGTACTCCCCACGCTGCTTTGCCACTCATTTAGTCAATTGAGTCTTCGGTTAGTCATTTAGTCGAATCGAGTCAGCATTCCCTGCCCACATTCATCCATATCCATATCCATATCCATCCTGCAGTCAGTTAGTCAATGGCATTCTGCCAGTCCCTGCAGCGAATAATCACGGCTCATATAATCATAATTATGAGCTGACTGACGTGCCACCTCCCTGCCACATCCCTTCTAGAACCTCGCTTCTGTCTGTGTGTGTGTGTGTGTGTGTGTGTGTTGGTTTCCCTACCAACGAACGTTCAACGTGGCGTATGAGCAATTTGTTCACTCTCAAAGCGAAAATGCGAACGCATTTTGCCAAATGCCAAGCGGAGCATATGCTAACATTTCCACCTCCTCCCGGCTCCCGGCTCCCGGCTCCTAGCTCCTGGTTGTAGTACGTTCGGGTGTTAGTTCAGTGCCTCATTATGAAATTATGCACAGATCTTTTTTTTTCTACCTCTGGAGACAAGGAGCGTGAGGGAGCCAGAGAAAGCGCAGTGTGGTCTATGATTTTCCTGTCCATTCTGTGCCCATTCTCAACATTTCCCTCTGCTTTACTTTCCACCTGCATCGCATTATTGCGCAGACTAACTCTAATATTTACACACAGCCAATATTAAAATAGCAACATTTTTGGACAAATTTTGGTCCGTAAATCGCGTAAATATTTTAACGTTTTATTTAATTTGTGTGCGGATTGCAGCATGAATGAAAAGCAAATGCTCTGCCAGTACAAAATTGCCCATAAGCAAACGGATACATTGGCTTGGAATGCCTCAGGAAATATTTTTTCCCACTCAAATTGCGAAATTGTGTGCCAAAAACTGCACCAAACTAGACTCATTTTCAGTCAGAGTTATTACTAAATTATTTCTCCAGGTGCGATCGTCTCTAGGTGCGATAAAATACCTGATAAAAGCGTTTGGGGAATGTCGAAATGTGGCAGTAAGATAGGGAGGGGCAACATGTGCAACTGTGGGTGCAATTAATTAACAAGAAGCAGATTTTCATCTTAATTTACGTGTAATCTCCCCAAAATGTACTTGACCTTAGTTAATCTGATATTATTTCTACGTTTTATTTACATTTCTGTCGGTCGACCTTGTGCATTTAATATTTCTCTGTCTGAAAAGAGTTGAAAATTCCAGGAATTGTGAGCTCTAGCTGTCCATATTTTGTTCTTCTCTTTTTTTTTGGCTGCAATTCATGGAAGCTACGTGACCGCAAATAAATAATGAAATGAATAAACTAAACCCACACACACACACACACACACACAGACAAGAAGTGGAAAAGTGAACAACAAATAAAAATGTTCGGGGTTAAAAGTGCAACAAAGAGAAGAGTGGAGAGTGGAGAGTGGAGAGAAGCGAGTGCGAGTGAGGGCAGCAAACTCATATTTCAACTATAATCTTATCAGCTTTTCGATGTTGAATTATAACCCAAAAAAAAAAGGAAAGAAACAAAACAAAACAGAAGTCAGCGAACGAGTGCATAGAGAAGAAGAGAGTGAGAGTGAGAGCGAGAGAGAGAGAGAGAGCGAGCGCAAAGCACATGCAAAACAATTTATAGAACAACAAAATAAATGCAAAAGTGAATTTGGGTGAGGGAAGGGGTGGGGGGGGGGAGATGTGTGGACTACCATTAATCCGTTTTTAGCTTTTGGCTCTCAGCTCCTGCTTCGTGCTTTAATTTAGGTATGAGGACCCTAACTGATTTCTTCATTTTGAATGTTAAACTACAAGAAATTGTTGTAAGTACTGGGGGAAATGTAATTGTTGCAGTTATAAATATTATGATTGAGTAATCGATTAAAGATTATTATTAGTATTTGAAACTATTTAAGTGCTTGTTGCTAAACAATTTTTAATGAATTAATTACGTCATAGTCATAGAAAATCCTAGAAAACCCATCCATCAGATAGAACCTTACTTTCTGCATTATTATTATCATTTTTGATACGCACTGTGTCTTTATGGGAATATTTGCGACGAAGATATTTTCCACAAAATTTACTTTATTGCCAGGCGGCGATATGCATAGGGGAAAAGAGAGGGAGAGAGAGGGAGGGAGTGAGAATGCAGAAGGTTGAGCCAGGATGTTTGCACACATGGCTCTTGCCTCTTGCCGCATTTGAAAATAAATTTGCATGACGATGGCAACTGTGCGACGGCGGCAAGCCAACAATTGTTGCGGCAATGTCCTGCTGCTGCATCCCTTTTGCAATCCTATCCCTTGCCTCTTCCCCACCCCGCACCCAACGTCAGTGTGTAACAACAACACCAACAGCAGCCGCATCCATCCACTGGGCGCCTGCAGGGATACGGCGGCGCTTGCTCTTCTACCAGTTCGGGCTGCTGCTGCTGCTGCTGCTGCTGCTGCTGCTGCTGGTCCCTGGCCCACTTCTCGCCTCCCAGTTGCTTCAAAATTTACGAGCAAAAGCATTTTCAAGAGTTTTATGCGCGTTGAGTGGCAGTGGGGTGAGGCTAAGGGGGTGCTAGGGCTTGTAGGACTACAATTTTAACTTGGCAGCAAAAAAAAACAAAAAAGATAAGAGAAAACCAGCAAAAAAATATAAAAGACTAGGAATATCTGCACACAGTTACGAATAGATATAGAAACGCGTTTCATTTCAGTTTCTCTCTCTCTCTCTACGCTTTCATTTTGGGGCTGCTCTACGCCCATGCCCATTGCACTTTGGGTATATTGAATGCGGGCTTAGAGAATATTTTATGTGTCTAAAACATTTAGAGATGCTCAAAGTGTGCCATAATTTTGAAGATACAATAAACCGAAAGCGCACAAAAGTGGAGAGAGAATAAACACGTTTCAATTAGATTAATTTTATAGCCGGATTAAAGAGAAAACATTTTCCCATAGCGGACTCCCATGTCTCGCTTTCGGTCTCTCTCTCTCTCTCTCTCTCTTTCTCTCTATGTTCCTCGCTTAGCGCCACCTGTCGGAGTGAGCGAGATAAAACCGCCAGATGCTTGTTCGTTGAAGCAAAAAAAGACTGAATAAAGATCTAACTTAGGTTGGGAATAAATAATAATTTTAGACACTGGGACGTAGATTTTTCTCTCCTTTTGCACACCTCAAAGGTACATGAAAATCCACAGAAACATCAAAATTCCCAATCGAATAATAAGTAAAGTATGGAAAAGGTAACTTAATGGTACTTCTTGTTATGCTTCTGATGTTTCCACAAACAATTTGTTGCATTTTCAAATTCTAAGCCAAAACTAGAGTAACGCTTAGTTGGATCCTTCATCATTTTATTCTATTCCTTTTTTTTCGCTGTGTTTCTTAGTGCATTTTCCTACACAGTCCTTTCCCAGTCAGTCAGTCAGTCAGTCAGTTCGTCAGTCAGGAAGTAGAAAATTTTCCGGTTTTACTGTTGAGCCTGCTGCTGCTGCTGCCAGGAAATCGCTCTAGTCCGATGATGGGAACGAGACAGGCAGCCAGGGAGGGAAAGAAGAGTACAGATAGGGATGAAGGATGAAGGGAGTGAAAACACATCAAATGAAAAGCGCGGAAAGTCCCTATGGTCCATGGATCCCTTGACTAAACCCTCCTTACACACTCTCCCTCTCCCTCTCCCTCTCCAACGACCAATGGCAATCGGGTTGACGGTCGTAATTTCAGTTGAGAGCTGGGCAGGCAGTGCGGAAAGCGCGGGTACGGGGACTCTCTTCTTGCAAATGGAAATGGAGCATTTATTGAACTTTTCGCTAAAGATATTTTTGTATTTTTCGAAATGGGTTAAAAGAGGTGGAACAGGGGGGAGGACAGATGGACAGATGGACAGAGTGACAGTGGAGAGGAGCAAGCCGGCAGCTGAGGTATGGCCTGAAATGTAGGCCGTTTATTTTTGGGGACCCAAAGAGTTTTCGCTACTTTAAAGTTTTCCCAACGCTTCGGCCATGCAATTGAAATGAGTTCGCAGGATGAGAGTCCATCCATGGGCCGGAAGGATAATGAGCATGAAGAATGCTTGCAATTAAAACTAAAAATGAAATATGTATCCATTCGGAGAGAGAATTTCCTAGCTACTTTTTGACTTAGTTCAAGGCAAGAAAGTTTCAGAAAATATTCCACAAAAGAAAGATACGAAAAAGAATAGAAAAATTGGCTACAAAAATGTTGAATTTGTTTCCCTATGAAATATGTATCTGAAAATGTCCTGCAAGGAACATTTTACCCGTGTTTGAGTTTCCAACCTCCCTTTCCTTTGGTCGATGCTTCGCTGTTTGTTTGTTGTCAGTGGATAAAAAATAAATACATAAATAATTTGTGCTGTTGAGGAAATTCCCGCAACACGCAAAGAGAATGCAAGAGAGAGAGACAGCGGAGGAGGGAAAGAGCAGGCAAGAGATTAATTTTTATGTCACCTGTGCGAAAAATTGTTGCGGAAATAATTATCGTTCATTCCGTGGCGTTGAGTGGCACACATTTTGCTCTCCTGCGACTTCTTGGCTTTGTATTTGCTTGTAAATTGTTTCTTAATTTGTACAACGAAAAACATATTGTGAAAAAACATTCCACAACAACAACAATAACAACAACAATAACCATAACCATAAGCAGCAAACAATCGTTGGGGTCTCTTGCATTTTTTTTAAAGCTCTTTTGCCAAATGGTTCATGAATCATTTCATTTGTTTCTGTCTGTCTGTCAGTCCTACCCCCTGTGCGAATATTGGATGTAAGTTTGGGGCCACTTTTGTGGGGCATAAGTGGCCGCATGGATGGATGGATGGATGGATGGATTAATGGGGTCAATGGTCAGAGTCGAGAGCAGCGGCCAGCAGAGAAAATGTCAAATCATGGGGAAAACAACCCCCAAATGGAAAGTATTATTCGAAAATAAATTGCGTTAAATAAAAAAATGATACAAATTTATAAAAAATGATTGGGGTTCTGCCACTTAGTATTTTATTTTATTCGCGTGCGTGTGCCGCAAACCGCCGATTAGCACAGTAATAATGACAAGTAATATTTATAGATTGTTGGGTTAATGGTTAATAAAACGCAATACAAGTTTTAAGTACTCTTTTTTAGTGAGCATTTAATTTACCAATAAGGGCAATTCGATTCTCAAGTTGTTACTTGAGTTTCAAATAAATGATTATTGAGTTAATGTTAAAGATTTGCTTTGCGGTTACTTTGGCTGCTCGTGTTGATGGGAGATTGGCTGAGTGGGCGGTATGGCTAATAAATATGTAACGAATAATAATGTAAACTCAAACTACAAGCTCCGATTTCATTGGTTATTGGATGAATTAGTTGATTATTTTATATATTTTATTGCATGTGCTTCCGTTTCATATACAAATTGACATATTTTGCTTTGCACTCACTTTATCTTCATATTTCTCCACTTACTGGTAACTAGAAAAAATTTAATTTAAATGTGAACACCTAGCAAAATATATCTTCCATGGAAACGAAGTATCTCATCTACTTTTTACTTTGATTTCATTCGCCATTATTCATTTAATTTATTTTCGAGCTCCATTCAGTCATAAACGTTTAATTACTTAATCGCATTTACATTTACCGACCTTTACCCTCCTTCCATTTTCATTTATATTTCTTTCTCTCTTTTTCTCTTCTCTAAAATTGTGTAGAAAAAAAAAACTAGAATCAAGATTTTTCCTGCCGCTGCTTTGGTTTTCTCATTTCTGCTTTCTATTTTACACCTTGATTCGTTTTTTCCTCTTTTATTCTTTTTCTAACACTTTTTGTATATAAAAGCAGAGTTTGCTGTGTTGTTGTTGCTGCATTTCCGCTGCTCTTATCACGGCAAGAGGCAACATTTTGCTGCAGGAAGGCAGGCAGGCAGGCAGGCAGGGAGCGGTGCAAAATGTGTGACATACAAAAGCCCCAAATGCCGCTGCGGTTAGCCAGCCAGCCAGCCAGACAGAGAGGAGAGCCACACAGATGCAGATAGAGAAAGAGAGAAAGAGAGTGAAAGAGAGGCAGAGGGAAATAGTTTTTTCACGAGTGACTGATTGTTGTGCGACACAACTTGTTGTTGCCTGCTGCCTGCTGGCTGCCTGGTGTTGATTATGTTGTAGGGATGGAATACAGTCGAACTTCTGTAATGGAAACTAATTGTATTACAGCAAAAAGAAAGTGGAATTTATAACCCTTTTTAATATCTAAAGATAAACCCATCCAAGTCGAAACATAATAATAATAATATTAAGGATCAGTTTTATCTGATTGAAAATAATTCTAGCTACAATTACGTCAAGTTTTTCAGGATCATTTCTGTATTTTATCTAAAACAAAAGGCCCAAATCAGACGTGTGTCCGTTCGCTTGTGTCCGCTCGCTTGTGTCCGTTCGCACATGGGAAATTCATTCAAAGTTTCCACTGTAAATGTATTTTTTCCTTTCGGTTTTTTTTCTGTTTGTATCAACCAAACGCAACAGTCCAAACACAGCCATATGATGATGTCGATGTTGTTCGGCAGCGGGGGGGAGAATCCCACATAGGCATATGAGAGGGGGACCACCTCCCGCCGCTGACGTCTTGCGGTCGTTCATCTAACAACCTAAATAAGTTTCACTGCCTTCGTTGGGGCCACACTCCATAGAGAAATAAATTTGTTTGTATGCATATTTTATTTTTTATGGTAATGGAGGAGGTTCCCCTCCCTTGCCATCATCATCCTCATCCTCCCATAGCCATCCGCAACCCACTTGCTGGCTGCTCCATCGACCGACTGACTCACTCTTTGAATAGGCCTGGCCTGGCCTGGCCTGGCCCAAAACAAAATGAAATAATGTGAAAGAAAACGAGCAGAAAAAATAGAAAAATGGCAAACGGCGTTGACAAGGGAATGGAGTTGCAGACGAAGACGGAGACGGAGATGGAGTGTGTGCTGGTGACAACTCAGTCTTTGGTCAAAACTCCACAAACTCTGCAGCCGAGTGGAGTTGACTTTATCAAGTGTGCTTTCTCATGCTGAAAACTATTTCATGTACATGCCCCCCATGGCCATCCATTAGCGTATGTGTAAGTGATCAATTCTGTGGCGAAAAACAATAGAAACCAGCGAATAAATGGAAGCATCTAATATGAAACCTAATCTACATCGAATCAAAGTACAACAAATAATTCTTTGAGTACTCGTTGTTAAATGTTTGTACAATTTTGTGCCAATTTTTGCAAATTGAAATTTCAATTATCAATTCCATGAAAATCCAATCCAACTTTCAAACATAAAAGAGATAAATAAACGAATAAAATATAACAAATAAATGCAGATTCAGATCTCAAAGAGAGCTCTCTAAAATTGATTTGCCACTGAAAATCCAACAACAACAGTTGAATAATCAACAAATCAACAAATCAACAGCCGCAGCACGGGTAGTAGTGGGTGGCTATCAATAAAAACTAAATTACAAACACATAACAAACATTCAAATAACACAAAACAATTTCCTTATGGCAAACACTTCAATTTACGTTTTACCAAAATGCCAGAGGGCCAAGCGGTAGGGGGAGGGAAATGGAAATGGAAATGGAAAATATGTGTGTTTGGGAAGGAGGGGGACATCCCCCCCCCCCACTCATATGCAATTTGTCCCAAAGGCATCTAAAATGTAAAAGTAAAAGAAGAGAAAACCAATAGAAAACAATTTTTGCTGTTTGTTTCGCGGCACGCAAAGAAAGTGCGGTACATAACTATAAGCGGTACTATATTTTGGTAGTGAAATAAACCTTCTAAAACACGTAATTTACCCTCCCAAAGCTGGACTCCTACCAATGCACAAGCGAATACTGGCAAAGAGATTGCCCAAGAGCTCAGAAATGTTTTTATAATTATGGATAAACACTGTCTAAATGGCAACAATATTCATTTTCTCTTCTCTGCGTTTGTTTTGTTTTTTTCTTTTTCTGTATTTTTCCATATTTTGTCATCTGCCCAGAGGGTGGGGGGTGATGGTGGCCTGGGGCCAGGGACACACATTCGCCATGCCGTCAGTTGTGCTCGCTCCACCTGTACCAGCCCCGCAGCCTGCACCGCATGTTGTCAAAAATATAAAATAAATAGCACGGAAAAAAAATGTTGAATAAAACAAAAGTAAAATTTGTTTTGACTGAATGTCATTCCAGTCAACAGTCAGCTAGCCGGCAGCTAATAGCGTCTGTCCGTCTGTCTGTCTGTCTGTCTGTCTGCCACACATTCATCACGGAATCCTCTCTCGTATGACAATGATTATAAAATTGTATTTGGATTTCCTTGATTTTTTGGTATTTGTTTTTATCACTCATTTGAAATGGAAATTGGTGCTTAAAATTCCTTTTTTTCAATTTCGTGTTCAATGTGTGGAAGCGCTTGAATTGAAAAATAATATGAAACGTGAAATGAAGCATTCACAAACACTTTCATTTTAAATGATTTACGATTTAACCTTAATTGATTTCAGTTTTAGTGAGCCGATATGCATGGCATGGCTAAAAATATCTTTAGCTGAAGGAAAGTAAATTCTCTCTTTAAATAAATTGAAATGTTTGATTCAAGATTTTGGACTTATGCGCACTTCAATTAAGCCAAGACACCAAGTGCCATTCCGTTTCGTTCCGTTTCCCTCGTTCCCTGAACTTTACCATATCGAAAAGATATTTTGCATTATATTTTGTTCCTATTTTTTTTTTTTGTTGCGCTGAAGCAAAGTTTCCTGTTATTCCGAAGTTGGCCAACAAATGTCTGGGAGTTTTTCGCTGTACGTTTCATTAAATGCTACCCACCGAACGAAAGAAGGACAGAGACAGACCCCCTTGGTGTTCCACCCCTGGCATAAATTATCCACCCTGTCATCGGTTGTTCCCGTTGTCCATTCCTCCATTGCTTCATTCTTCTCTGTTGCACTCGCTCCATGTGCCCAGATGTGCTACCCAGTCTCCAGTCTCCAGTCTCCAGTCTCTTCTCCACTTCATAAAATGCCGTTGCGACGCTTAATTTTGCGCCCGCCGTCTGTCTGGAGAGCATTGAGAGACACCAACGCCCCCTCCCCTCTCCTGCCTTCTGCTCGAAAAAGTGAGCAACAGCTGCCCCACACCCAGCGACCACCCACATCCTCCCCTTTGCTAGTGGAAAAAGGAAAAAACACAACAAAAAAATTGTTATAAAATTTATTAAAAGTAATTTGCATTGCAAATTAATTTTCTTTTTTCTCTCTTCTCTTTTTCGTTCTTCCTTTCTCTCTGTACTTTCCCAAAATTACTATTTTATTTGAGTGGATAACAGGGAGAGAGTGGGCGGCACAGCATGTGCCAAAGAAAACAAAGTTTAGAAGTTTTTAACGCTTTTTGGGTGTCGTTTTAGGAGGAGGAATACGGAATAAGGTTATTACGATGATGATCAGTGGGAGGTCGTGCTCAAAACTCCCATTGAATAATGATTTCTATTATAAGGGAGGAAATTTGAAGCTAATTAGAAGCAAATTTAAAAATAAATTCAATATGTGTTACATGGTTTAATGTCGCACTGTATTTATGCTCCATAAAGATATAAATATCCTGGTTCCCCTGCCTCCTCCTCGTCCACACCCTGACCTTTTGCTGAATGGCATTATAAACATGAAGACATAAAGTATACATACTATCCACTAAATCATATGCTTATCAAACTAGTTCATCCAATATACAACCAAGAAAGTTACGAGTATTATTCAGAATTCGTTTTAACACAAGAAGCCATCGGGAGCAGCGCCTTAAATGGAATCTTGAATGGAATTTGATGTTACATTATCACGCAATACTTTGTTTGAGTTCGAATTTTCGTACAGTTTTGATAGAAATGCATAGTAAAAGTTAATGGAAAATTGTATTCTACACTTCATTTCAATCACACTTCAGATCCCAACTAGATTCAGGCTAAAAAGAAGAACTTATCTTTCTTTTTTCCACCCCACAAAGAGTGTGGAGAAGCACGCAAATTGCGATTGGAGAACTCCAAGAAAATGACTCCTAAATACATAATAACAATTCGCTTCATTCATTATTTTATTATTTATTATTATTTCTAATGACATCGCGTGCCACGAAAATCGAATACACTCCGCAGCCTGCTCTCTCTCTCTCTCTCTCTCTCTGTCTCTTTCTCTTTCTCTGCTCACACTGTTTCGGAGTACATAAATGTGTACAACAAAATGAACACTAATAATTTAATTGGTTGCTGTTCTTAGCGATTCTTTTATGGTGCATCTCTCTGCTCTTTTAATACCCTTTCACAGGGAATATTGTGATTTCGAGCAGAGCTTGGAAAAGCTTTAAACATGGCTAGAAATAGTCGTCAAAGAACCTCTTCCAAAACCTTTTCTATATTGCAGGGTATCTAAAGTGCCATCCCATCCCAAGATCCATCTTTGTTTCTCGTTTTCTGTTATTTTTTGTACACATACAAAGTTTTCATTTACTCTTTTTTTTGTGCTCAGTTTTGTTTATGGCTTTTGCTATTTTTTTTGTATTTACTTTTTTTTCGCACACAATATTAAATTGTTTGTATCTCTTTTGTTTTTTGTTTGTTTACTGTTAATGGCCTTTGGAATTTTTCTCTCTCTCTCTCTCTCTCTCTTTCCGTTGCCATATTGACTTTTGACCAACGATTATTTATGCCGCTTCTCGGCTTGGCTTTTGAAGCCATAATTCATTTATCATTTGTGTTTTATGGCAAATAAATATCAGCATATCATATCAGTTAACTATAACCACAAAAGGTACACCCGCAAAAAACAGCAACAACAATGATTGTATCAACAAACACCAAGAGCTGTACCAAAGCGTTTAAATACATTTATTTCTGTATTAAATTTGTATTTAATATGCTTTGAGATCTGTCAGGGGAAACAAATATTTATTTAATCAACAAACAAAATACATATTTAAATACTAAAATATAAAATTATAATTGAAAAACGTTTTGAAGCTAATTGGACCAATTTTAGGTTTCTTTTTGGCCACATTTTTAGTAGCAAACAAATAAAGTACGCCCCAATCCATTTCATTTAAACTTTAAATACAGTGCCCAACCATCTATTAAGTATAACAATTTTGTTTTGAAATGAAATTAGCATTAATTCCTTGACTGATTCATTTAGTGGGCGGGGTCCGGGGGCCTTCTGTGCTGCTGCTGACAAACCTTTCATGGTTATTAACCCCTTAATGCAGCACACCCCAAGCCCCCCACTGACATGGACACTGGCCGCTGCATGCACGATTTATATTACTCATTTGGCAGCTAATTACAAATGCCGAGCTAATAAATTATATTTTACAATATATTAAGTGCATTAAACAACAAAAAGCCAGAGAGAGCGAAAGAGAGGCGGCAGTGAGGGGAGAGGCGCTAATTAAAATGCAGCCAAGCGCGGCGACGTGAACAGCTCAAAAAATTAAAAACAATAAGCTAAATAAAATAAAATCCTATCCCTGACTTTGAGTTAGGAAATTCAAAGACATAATTATAATAAACTAAATTTGGAATTTGGAAAAGTAAATAAATATTATTAGCAACATTGCGTAAACATTGCAAAAGAAATACAATAAAAATGCAATAAAAGGAAAAACGAAAACACATAAATTATTTACTTATTCCGGCGACCCGCAAACAGCGCAGCCGCCTGCTTAGATGCGCGGTCAGTGTCTCCATAGAATTATGCAAATCAACAAAAACAACAACAACAAAAGAGACAACCGAGTGAATCTGTCCTTGAAAATTAGTTCGATGCGCGCGTGAATCGAACGTCTTGTGTGTGTTTCTGTGTGTGTGAGTGCGATTGCGATTGCGATTGCATGCGAGAGTGGAATAGATAGATGGTGGTCAAAGAGAGCAGACGAAAGAGAACTAGCAGGGGAACGAGCATGGGAACGTGAAACGAAACGAGCAGGGGAACGGGAACCAGCAGAAGAGTGCGAAAGTGACAGCAGCCGTGAAGGCGTGTGCTGGCTACAGTGCGTTACAAAATCGTAAATACACAGCAACCCGAAATGCAAATGTGACTTCCAATTTGGCAATCAATTTGGTAGTAAGCAGTAAAGTATTTGCGATAGAATTTAGTTTTGGTAAACTGATTATTTATTCACCTAATCGCCTTGCAGTTGTGTGCCACACTGTAAGGCAAACACACCTTAAGTTTGAATAAACGGGAGTGAGTGCAGAGGCTGTCACGGCTCAACGATGACTCTCTCGAACAGAGCTTGTCTCGCTTTATTCCAGAATAATATTTTCCTCGGGTCTCTGTGCCCTTAAACATTGACAGCGCAATAATTGTCATATGTTAGACGCTTTTCAAACCAGTTTAAATGCCTTTGCCTCACTCAAATTGAGCCAAGGACTATTCAGAATTGTGCCAAGTGACACCCCGAAGTGTCCTGCGGGGCAATTAAAGCATCAAGCAATGGGGAAATGGCAGCTTTGGGGTATGGCTCAGGCCGTGGGGGGGTGGGGACGCTGGCATTTCATGCAACACGTTGGCGAGGACATAACAACTACACCCCCGCCACACACACACACACCACTGTGTACTGTGTGCTTGTTGTCCATATGCTGGCCATGAAAAACGCGACACGCAAAATTTTTTGCATGGTCAGGTCTGGAGGAGCCGTACGGAAACTTAGCCAGCGGGTCCCGTTAGTGGAGCAGGCTGCCAGCATGCCATCACACAGCGTGGCAGTCATTAACCCGCCCACATAACAGCCACGCCTTCCTGTTAACCACAAACCCCCCACTCACTCCACCCCACCACCATGTCCTGCGTGTGTGTCCTTGTGTCCAATGTGTGGTCCATGCCGCTGCCAGAGTTCGGTGTGACAATTTTTCCTATTGTTTTTTCCCTCTGCATTTTTTTTCGGCGTCTCCACTCAGCCCATTAGCATGGCCAATGAGCAGTGCGATGTGTGGCCACCCTTTGGGTTGGGGTTAGGTTTGAGGTGGGCTGGCGTGGGGTTTCTCCTCTGGTTTTGTCCGCTTTGTTTAAGTAATTGCCGCTCAGTGTGAATGTGGATAACGTTGGGAAAGCAGAGAGCTGGTCAACGTGCGCGGCGCGGCGCATACTTTGCGGGTTAATCCCCCCATTAGGAAGCCCAAGAGTAGGCGCTACGGTGGCAGGGTACAGGCTTTATTAACACTGATTAATTGGCCTAAGACTACAGACAACTCATAAATATTGATTTGTTGAAAAGGGAAGTTGTCGTTTGATTGCTTGGACAAGTCAATAATTCAATTTAATATTTATCATCAAAATCAGAGAAAATCCCAACATTTTTCAAAGCTAAAACCTGCGCGCAATCTTCATTTCGTGTCAAATTATTACTTCAATTTGATTATTCTCTCTCTGTCCCTGTGTTGTCCATGCCCCAAGTGTCATTCCACCCTCAACTATCTGGTAATAAAGCCATATTCCCTGTGGTCTGGCGGTTTTCTGTTTTTCTTTTTATTATTCACTGTTTCATGTCTCGTCCCCTCAATGGCGGGGGCCAATGAACCGCAAAAGTGGGCACGTGTCCTGGCAATTGACACGCAAAGGAAATCGCACGGAATATCGAAATGATAATATCTGCTGTACGTATACATAAGTTGGTAATTTTCAACCAACCGCATTTAAAATGCTTAAATTTTCATGGCTTTAGTCGTAGATTTTAAGCATTTCGCCAATATTTGTTTTTGTTGAATATCGACAAATGCAACTCGTGGAGGGGAATCACCAGAGCCTCCAACTGTTAAGAGTGTGAGAAATTTTAACGTAGGGGGCACACACTGTGCAGGGCGGCGTCATAAGCGGCGTATACGTAATCAAGAATCAATTGCAAGGCAAAAAGCAAACAGCAACTAAACCGAAAGACAAAAGGAAGCAAAGAAAAATTGACAACTCGCGTCAAACTCATTTGACAATCAATAGGGGCAACAACGCATCACAGAGAATGAGAGCGAGAGAGATAGAGAGTGCACACACAACCCCTCCCATCTGATCGTTTCTTTTTTTTTGTTGCTTTTGCTTTTGCTGCTTCCTCTCTGTCTTCTGCTTTCTTGTTTCGTTTGCTCTGACTCTGTCGACTGTTGCTGTCGGCATTTGTGTTTGCACTCGCGTTGTCGATTCTCTACTTTGTGTGTTTTGTTTTTGTTTTATTTGATTGGGTTTGTTTTTTAAATTTGTGTTTTTTTTTTATTATTATTTTTCTTTGCATCAGCATCAATGGATTTCTCTTTCTCGTTCTCTCTCCCTCTCTGTGGAGGTTTTATGTACACAGTGGCGGTCAAATAAGTAGGCGACTAATATATTTGCATAAAAAATAAAATATAGAATAATTGAAGTATGCAGAAATTTAAGTAAAGACAAATTTCAGCGCTTTGCAAAAATATGAATAAGTTTTAAAACACCTTTGATACAATTTTAGTGCCCCCAATTAGCTACCCCTCACTGTCAGTTGAGTGTTTGCTTTGCTTTGTCGTTCGATTTCGTTGCGACCTCCTCTCCCGCTCTCCCTTCGCACAGTCTCCCACTCCTCCGCGCCCCCTCTCTGCCTAAGCGATTGGCTTACATTTGGATTGCAAATTGTTGCTTGTCTATTTATCGCTCTGGGGCTGCTTTAATTAATTTTATTTACACAAACCAACATATAAATACTCGTACATCCATAGAGACCTCAACTAATATTTATTCGCATTTTCTCTCGTCTCTTTTTCTTTGCAGGTGAGTTGAGAGCATTTTTTCTTATCGAGGAGAAATCGAATTCGAATTCAACGTGAGTGCATAAAAATGGATATGGGTTTTTATTGGGGTGGGTTCCACTTCGATGGCGATTGGCGATCTATTTAATCGAGTGGCGGAAGGAACACTTTCTTATGGTAATCGGATTTGGTCGAGGTTACACGGGATTGAGATTAGAACCAAGTAATCGATTTAAACCTGAAGCAGAATCAACGGAAATAGATATTGAATGGGAGTAATAAAATATTGCTGACAAGTGGGGAAGCATTTTTGCTATCCTAAACTTAAGGGTGTTATAATTGGAATATTATTTGAAAAACGAACACGGACCATCTTTAAATCTAAGTAAAATGATCTGAAGAACTTCAGGACATCAGGAACAAGTCTTAAGTAGATTCGAATACCAAAGCATGTCTGAAAATTTGTCCTTTCATTCATAGAGAATTCATTCACCATCCGTTTATCCGTTTACAAGCTTCTAGAAGCTTCAAGGCGATGCGGGCTAAACATTTCAGCCAGTTTAATCTTTATTAAAGATTTCTTTCAAAGAAGAACCTTTTTGGAGAGCCTTTTCTTATTTCTGTTGGTTTCTTTTGGTATATGTAAATATGTACGAATGTATGTATGTTCCATATTGTACATTACATTCATTTATCAGGCTTAACTTTAGTATGGAAAAAAGTTGCAAGTGCCCATCAACAAGTCCATTTAGAAGTCAGAACTCGGGAACACATAAGTGGACAACAAAAGACCCTGTCCCACCCCTTGCCCACCCCTTCCTTGCCCGCACATAGTTACAGTTACAGTCAAAGGCCAAGCCCAAGCCCAGAAATTGAGCTTTTTGATAGTGAAAAGCCCATTGAGCTTTTCCGACAAAGGACACGAAGGAACAGCAGAGCCAGAGTGAGGCGGGAGAACGGATGCTAAAGGCTTGATGAGTTGACTATTTGCAAATGTTAGCAACAAATGGGAGCAGATCCTTTAAAACAACAATGCCAAAACGATGGTTGATAAAAGACCAAAGAGAACCAGAGTGGAAAAGAGTGGCGGAGCAAGGGAGGCAGCGGGACAGGAAAAAAACACTGCCATATGCTAACAAAAGCCGGGCTATGTTTGTGGATGCAGGGGAACGTAGGAGATGGGACGGCCGAAACGAAACGAAACGAAACGAACCAACTGTGCAGAGTGGAGGGAGGGTAGAGTGCATTAAACTGCGCCCAAGTTGCGGCACACACACACTCACGGGTAAAGAGATAGGCGGGAAGAGAGTAAAGACGGAGTAGGAGATAGGAGTTTGGAGAGTGATAGAGAGAGAGAGAAAGAGAGATGCTGCTGACATACAAAAAAATGCCATAAATAGCAGATTGCAGATTTCAATGCTAAAAATCTGGTCTAAAATAAACCAACACATTTTATTAAAACAATTTTGACTTAAGTTTGAGTTTTACTGCTTTTCAAAACTCAACAAATCGTCAAATGAAAGATGTTTTTTTTCTCAATAAATCGAAACTAATTTGTTGCATAAATGCAAAGTAATAATTAACTAATAGCAGAAGACCGAAATATAACGAACATTAGTATAATTTTAGAAGCTGGTTAAAAATAATAATCACCCTTCAAATTAGACTTGATACTAATGAAAACACTCCACACTGGGTATCAAATTTTAGAAGCACTCAAGGAAAGGTCACACCGCACGCTGCATATATAGAATAAATACATAGGTGTTATCTTTTAAAGCTGCTTACTAAGCCGTAAGAGCATAAAAAACAAGCAGCTGAATGCTCATCACTGGCAGCTGTTCGACGACGACGCCGCCGACAATGACAGCAGCGTAAAGTCGAGTAGCTTACACGAGAGAGACGAGACGAGACGACGACGACGCTGACGGCGACTGCGACTGAGACGGAGATGGCGGACAAAAAATCCAATCCACTGTGGATTTGCAAAAAGCTTTAGCTACATGCCGAAACCCCACCACCCATCCCCTCACCCAAAGCACACACAGACACAGTTACAGTCACACGTAGCTGAAAACAATAATAAATCTCGGCAGCGGCACAAAAATCATGGAAAAAAAAAAGAAAGAAGTAATATACAGTAACAAAGGCAGGCCAGGCCAGGCAGTCGTCGGTGGTGGAGGAGGAGGAGGCTCATAAAAAAAGGCACAAATAACTCAAATAAAAAGAAAAAGTACAAGTAAAATGAAATAAAATAGTCTAAAGAGGCATCCCCTCCCCGCTATACAGCCTCTTATCATCTCTCTCTCTCTCTCTCAGTGTGTGTCCCTCTCTTCTATCAGCTACAAATCGAATCGAATCGAAGTGCAGAGGCAGAGCAGAGTCAGTGCTGCTACTACGAGATGAACAATCAAACGAAAATGGAGAATAATCTAGAGAAAAGTGTCGTGTCTGAGGAAATGAAGGAAGTAATAGTACAGGGCAGTGTATATTTTACGGAAGGTACCACGAATGGGTTACCAAAGCCAATTTCCTTACCTTAGCCGCAATATACCCTTTGGATGGTGTTGCTTTCGCCCGGGGGGTGTGTCTCTGTGGCATATATAAGGGGAGTTGCACGGACGCGTCTAAAACATTGCAGACTGAATGTAATAATAATAACACTGAGGGGACAAACACGGGATAGAGATATAAAACGGATATTCATATTGAAAGGCACCAACCGTACAGCTACACATACATATGTATGTACATGTGTGTAGTAATAATAAAAAAATGTGTGTGGCAAAAAACAGCCAGCAGAAGCATCGGACACACAATGTAACTGAAATCAGCAGGCGGCAGGCAGCAGGCAGACTTTGTTGGACAACAAAGACAGAGACAAAAACAAAAACACACAAAACCCAAACTAACGAAAGGGAGGAAAGCAAACACAGCAACAGAGGAAAGAGAGTTGGAAGATGGAGTTATAATTACAATATGCACTCGACTGATTTATCCCCCAGTGTTCAGAGAAAATTAAACCAAGTTATGCTAAAGATTAATGAAATAAAAACCAACAAGAAGCAGGAAAACTATGGCCTGCTATGCAGAGAAAGTTAAGCCACTAAATACTCAATACAGCAGCATCCCAGCAACAGGCCACTGTCTATGGTCCATGGTAACCCTTGATGAGATAAAGTTACAGTGCCACCCTTCAAATAAGTAGCTAGATGATGATCTCCCAGCTGCCAGTTCAGTTTCATTTGCTACGCCATTGTGTTGGCTCATTGGAGAGAGAAAGAGAGAGAGAGAGAGGGAGAGGGAGAATGCCACTTTACAGACTTGGCAAATGCGACAGCAAAAACAATGGCGCGAAAAGGTGGGACAGGGATTGGTGCAAAAAAGGGAATTCGAAATGCACATTTGGCTGTGTATACAAAACCCATATGAGGAGTACACACACACACAAATGTACATATGTACATAGGTAAAGGGAATGATTGCTTGTGTATAGATATGACCCAACTCATTTAGACCTGCAACGGCAGTGGAGTGGAGCAGCAACAAAGTTTGCCTGCCTGCCATTTACGCCGCACGATGGCAAAGTCCACTCTGAATGCAGGATAACCGGGGAAGGGGAAGTGAAATAGGATGGATTATAATTATAGTAGTCGTCGCTGGTTGTATTTGCTAATGGGGTGGATGGCTTTTGGTGGGTGTGTTCTGGGGCGTGGCAATTAAAGCACCTTGTTCAAGTGCAGTAATTTTAGGCAAAGTGCAATCAGTTGACAGAGAAGCGGCAATTCGACTGAGGCAGGGGACCGCGTAGCCATTAAAACGGTACAACTAAGTGGTGCGGGATTATATTTAAACAGCAGACAAGAAGAGCGAAAATCAAGTTCGAATTTAAGCACAAAAAACACAGCCTCAGTTTTATGTGCCCCCCATTCTCATTGATATTTAATCAGGGTTCGATGAGCATTTGCCAGCTGCAGAAGAATGAAAATGTAATAGGAATTTCCTGGAATGTTTGCTTAAATATTTTATAATAAGTATAATAGAGTAACAGGTGCAGGCTCCCTACCACACAGTCATCATACAGTCTCTTTACTCTGCCCCATCAGCAGAGGGGAAGCACAACTATCAATAAATCTCAACCAAGGAGCTTTTGCCGTCGTTTACCCCTGCCCCTGTACTGTGTTTGCTCTACCGATGTTCTGTTTGAGGCAATCCAATGCCGACTCAAAAAAAAAAGGGGGTATGAAAAGTTGCCAAAAACTATTGCTGGAGAGGGGACTCTAAGCTGCACATCAACAGGATTTTATTTGGGGCTTTCCTCTCTTGCTCCCCTGCTCAACGCTGCGTATGTGCTATATTACGTATACGTCGTATGAGTAGTGCTTCAACAGCACTTTAGACATTTTGATAATTGCTTCACAGTTATGCTGTTGTCTGCTCTGGTTTGCTGTTGCTTTTGTTGTTGGTTTAGCTCATGCCTGGAGCATGGTCAACTTGTCATACTAATTTCAGGGCAGCAGCAGCAGACCCCCAAAGCCAACCCCAAGCATAGCTCAAGTCCCGACCACAGACAGGGGCTGCTGGTGTGAACTCTGAACGGCTTTTGTCTATATAGCAAGAGGACTAGGAGCTGCTGGACAAATGGGGGAATGGGCATGGAAGGTGTCTGTCTCTCGCTCTGATTTACGCACTTTTGTGTGCTGCCTGCAGGTCGTATTTGTCTCTGTGTGTTTGCTGCCACAGTAACTTTCAAGTGAATGGACACACATGCCGGACACGGACTATGATCGGCCACAAAGTATGCTATAGTTTTGCTCGGTTTGCCGCCATTTTCGGGTGGAGTTGCACAAAAATGTCCAAAACTAAATAACAGTCAAATCGGTGCCAACTGGCAAAAAAGTTTCTCACGCATCTGCTTCCGACACAACTGCGATTTTTGGCAGCTGCATGGAAAAAAAGGAGTTGGAATTGTTGGCGCTCGTTTCAATTAGCCTGCCAGGGGCAAGGCAAAAGGAAACCCCATTGATGTGAAATTGAATTTTATTTTATTTTGTGGCAGTTTAATGATGGGAAAAAATCGTTTATCTTTGAGGTTAATAACACAGAGAACACAGAGAAAACATTTTTCGCTGGTTTTTGGCAAAAAAAAAAAAAAAAAAATCATGCACACGACATGAATTTTGTTTTACAAATTATTCTTTGCTTGTGTCGTTGAGAGCAGTATAGAGCAAGGAGGGCAATGCCTTTCATTTTAATTATCTAAACAAATTCCAAACAAAATCCAATCATTGATAATCTGCATTCGCATCGCACCACATCCACTTAGCCTCGTTTTTTCGTTCTTTCGATCAATATTTCAATTAGCTTCCAAGAATCTTTTCATTAAAGGACATCAATCAGCGCTGTCCATCAAAAAAAGTTCTCCATTAAATCACTCAATGGAACGATGGAGAAAAAAAAACACACAAAACAGAAGGGGAAAAGGTATTCAAATTGCTTGGGGCAGCAGTCCGCATCGCTGCAACTGACACACGACTAAAAAAAAAGAAGGAAAAGGTGGATATAGGCCTAACTGTTTGACCTTATAGCTGCTCCACCTGCTGTCTCCTGCTATTGCCCCCCACTCTTACGCTCTCTTTCTCGCTTTGTGCTTGTGTTTGCATTTCCCCGAGACTTTCTTGTTTTCGCAATTTTTTATCTTCAGCAAGATTTATGCGGCTTTGTGTCATAATTCTAGCGCGCTCTCTCTCTCTGGTGTAAACTTATGTCGGAGTCAGGCGACAGACGACAGCAAGAGGCGAGAGTATAGAAAGAGAATGGCCAGAGAAACAAGGACATGTATGGGCAGAGGCTAGAGATGGCAGCACTCGGGTGAAAATTTCTACCTTTCATTTGGCCAGTTAAGTAATCGTGAATATGTTTCGATTAAGTGAAAAGTTGTTTATTCTTACATATTTTTTGTTTCCGAGTTGCCATCTCCAATACAGTACCAGAGAGCGGCTTTCCCCCCTCTTGCCATTTGTTGGCCTGTTTTGTGCGGCGGTCTTTGGGCCCATTACATTTGCTGCTGCCCTTTTACAATTTTGCCATGATTTTTTCCTCTCTCTCTCTCACTCTCGGACAAAACTCGGGCGTCGCTAATGCGTTTTCATGTTTCACCTTTGCCCTGCTGTTGGCTTTATGCGTCATAAATGTATGGCCACAAACACACACATGCACGCGCACAGTTATACAGTTCTTTATGAAATCCAGTCGAGCTGGAGTTCTTCGGTTCATTGGGATTGTTTTAGGCACACACACACACACACACACACACACACACTGCTGGTGTGCTCCTTTCCGGCTCTTCTGGTCATTATTTGTGGTCAAGTGGATTAGGAGTGAAGCCTGCTGCTGCTGTAAGGATACAAAAAATTCAATTAGCTGTTAAATAGAAGGTCTAAAGGGCAGTTTTTTATACCAATTTGTAGCCATATAGAGCCTCAGAGAGTGTCTCAAATCTTGTATAAAAGTAATTGAATATAATAATTACACTCTAACACTCCTGTGCATAGAGAGATCAAACTTAACTTTTATTTATCACACTTAATTGAGCTTTTACTTGGACCATTTATCCTGCTAATTTTTCCATACTTCAGAGTGCACTTGCCAAACCGCTTAGCCGTCTTCCACGCACAACAGTCAGGCAGTCAAAATGTTGTCTATTCTTCTATCGTCCAACCCCCTAACCGAACATCTTTTGCTCAGGCAATTATAACAAGTCCAAACGCACATTTAGCACAAAGAAGAAGAAAGGCGCCACCGAAACGAAACGAAAATTTCATCAAAATCTGTCACGTACATGGCCACACACACGAAGACACGAGCACACAGTCGGTCATATAAAATCCCATTGGAAGTCCAAAATCTAACCACACACAGACACACACTTGAGCAGAGACAGCCAGACAGCGATACACCCACACACTTAACCCCATGATGACTATGATGCTTCGTCCTCCATTCTCCTCCTCCTAATCCACAGCTTGTGTCTCTGTCATTGTTGTGCACATTAATTTTGACAAAAACAATTTCATTTAACGGCATTTCCGGCATAACACACACATATCGCAGCAGAGCGGATGCTAGACGATGCCGACAACCCTGAGAGAACAAGACGTACGGTATAGCTACGGTATTTTAACCAAAAACCAAAATTGTGTATGATATGCCACCAATAACCACCCCTGCCTGCCCGCCACTGTCTGTTCATTCGTACAAGTTGACAGGCACAACACAACACGGGTTAACCAGGCGCATAACTGTGTATAAGTGTTATGTGGACATCAGGCAGGCAGGGAGGGAGGGAGATAGTCGAGCAGCATAAGGAACGGAACGGAACTGAACAGAAGAGAAGAGAAGAGGAGCATAAGCAGGCGGAGCAGCTGGAGCCATGTGGTCAATGCATTACTGCTGCTCTCACTCTCTCTCGGCTGCTCTCTTATTCTCTCCGCTACAGTCGCGTCCGTTTGTCCAGTTGATTGTATTGTCATTGTCGGTGCTTTAACTAGTTGTCCATGCTTATAGCGTTTCATGCTATCATGGCATGATATTGGGGGTATATTCGTTTCCCCAAGCTTATGGCTTGGCTTTAGTTTTGATTACTTTGTTAACCGTTAATATGTGTGATTCAATCAAAGAAAAATTAACATTGAGGCCCTACAAATATTCACATTATTCTTAATTTACAAATTACCAGACGCCAAGGTATTAGCGTGTTCGTGCATACCCAAAATTATGATGATCTCAAGCATTGCCTGCGGAGGGAGCGGTCTGGGTGTGTGTACATTTGCCATATTTGAAATTCGCATTGTGTTCTTCCCGCGACTGTTCTGCTCTGCTCCACTATGTCCCTCTCTCTCTTTCTCTATCAGGGTTTGCTTGTAACGGGAAGTTATGTCTAACACGCACGTACGCCCAATGGTATGACCCTGTCGCCCTGGTCTTACCCTTCATTCATGCATCCGTCGCGTCAAGTCAATCCCATGCATCCTTTCTCTCTCCCTCTCTCTATCTGCCTTGATATTTTGCTCAATATGCCAGTCAGTCACTTGGCCAAAAGGAGCTGTGTTAGGAGGGTTGCGGTGTTGGCGAAATGATTTTCATATTTCCGAGCGTGTGTTTTGTGTGAGCAGAGCAGAGTTTGTGCTTGCCTTTGGGTTATGCTTACACATACTAATGCGCTGTAAGTACTCTCACACTCCCAACGGAATAACGTAGAGGGTCACCCAATACGCGCCACAGCCCCAAAACAGAGAATTCAAATTAATGAGGCGTGTCTCACTTACTACGTTACGCTCCTCTTTCGCACATATATGTATATGTACAGTACTCCCACCCCCCACGCAATAATATTATCGTTATTGTTATTTATTATTGTTGCCTATTTGCACAGCCACGCCCCCCAGCTTTAGGGTTTTTTGTTTGGGTTGGAGGTCTGCCTCTGCCTGGGGTAAGCCGCTTAAACAATTAGTTAATTGATATCATGGGAAACCCACACTTGAAATATTTGATTTAAATTTACAATTTATGTACAGTGATCGCTCACAAATGAGAGTCCAAATTATGTAATTCTACACCATTTTTTGTATCCTGTATCTGCGTTTGCATTTCCATAGTGCTAAATGTTGGAATTGTTGTTGTTTTATGCTAATTTTGCATTTTCATTTTCATTTTTGTTGTTGGTTACTATTATTTGCATTTTATTATTGTTTTGATTAATTTCCAGTTTTGGTATTTCAATTTATTTCGTGGGTTTATTTTTGGGCAACAATTTGAATTGGATTTGTGGTGCAATTACCACACAAATTTGTCAAAGGAAAGCAATTTATAAATGTGGGAAATGAGGCAAAAAGTGAGAGAATTATAGGCGGCTTTGCTTGAAAGTTAGTTAATTTGTTAAATTGGGAAGTATAGTGCATTAATGGCATCAATAATAATTGGTTTGCGGTATTTATTATGCTATGGTATTGATAGCTGCTTGGTTATGCTTAAGACTTCCTCTTGTTTATTATGTGCCATAAGAGAATGGCAGTTGAGAAGCATACCCATCAATATTTATTCCAATACAGAATCCAAGCAAATGTAATCGTTAACTCTTGCGAGAGGTATTTTCTTGGCCATTTACGCTTAATACCTTTATTTATTTAGCTGCTTTTTGACACTTAATTCCTCAGCACTCCATCTCTGTGGCTATTCCCGCATTCCACTCAGCATTCCCTCGCTCACTCTCCCCTACCACCCACCACTTTATCATCCTCGTCGATGACTTCTTGTTGTTGTTGCCCGGCCACCGCAAACAGTTTAACGCGATGCATCGTTTGCGTCCGACGTCCGTCGTTCGTAGTCCTCATCGTCGTCTCCCCATCGTCCACGGCTGTAATCAACTGCCACTTGATGCAAAGTCAGTCGTCGTCCTCGGGCCGAGCGGTGCCGGCCAGCGCATAGTGGGAAGAGTTGTAATTAAAAAGGGAATAATGCAAAAGAAAATGATAAAAGAAAAAGACTCCTAAAATAAATAAAAAAGATATTACAAATAAAATCATAACAATAAAAATATGCAATATTTTCTTAAAACTACCTAGATTTCATTATGTTATCTAATCTTGTAAGTAGTTTCACACCCTTATAATTCAAGTGCAAATTTTGCAATTGTTTAATGCCACTGTGCGTCTTACATTATGTTTACGTTTGCGTTGCGTTCACATTAAAAGCTACGCGGTTCTTTATTTATGGCCATCAATATTTTATGACGCGCAACGCGCACGAAACCCCAAGAAAACGAAGAAGAGGACAATGTTCGGAAGGTGGTGTGCGGGGTGGAGTAAATGCTTGGACAGCAGGAGTAAGAAATCTATACGTACCCTAGGCGACTGCCCGTTCCCTCCCTCCGCTGCAGCAGTGGGCAGCACTTAAAGCATAAACGCAATTAAGAGAAAAGAAAAAGTCAAAAAGATACAGGAGACAGAAGGGTATAATAAGAAGAAAAAGTTCATTTGTAAATTGGGGATATGTTTCATCAACTTTTCATGCAGCCCACGCGGGAAACTGTAGCTGGAGCACCCAAGTGTGAGGCTGATAGCAAAGCCAAAAGCTAATCTCCGTTGCTGAGCCAATAGCCCAGACTGCTGTCCCTCTCTTTCTCTCCTTCCAGCACCCAGAGTGAGAGTTGACTTAATTAATATTTATAAGAAGTACATAGAAACAGAATGGAAAAGGAACAGCACAAAGTGAGAGAGTTACAGTTAAAATGTGCATACATTCGCCACTGTTGGCAGAGCACATAAAGAAACCAATTAGAGTCACACGTAAAGGCAACACGTGATTTGAATTCTGTATTATTTTACTACACAATTATTTTATTGTTTTAACAAAAAATAAAGAGAGTGAGCATACGGATCTCTTCTATCATCTAAAAATTAAATCATTCAATCTCTCTTGGAACGCAACCCGTCACTGCCGCAGCAGTTGCTTCTGCCTCTGTGTCGGCTTCCACACGACTATTACGCGACGAGGAGGAGATCTATTAGCCTACAGCACTCTGCTGTTTATTTGTTTTTGCCTCTTGCTTGTTGGCTTTGTTAATGTCGCTTTTATGACTTTCCTTTTGGAAAATGGGGGGAAACGGGAAAATTAAATAAACAAAATAATTGCACAAAAACTGAGCCAAAAGGAAGTACATTCAGACAATGGCGAATGTTTAGCATAATTTATGCGGAAATATTAAAAATAACGACACAAAATATATACAAACTGCGGATGGGATGAAGCAAAGGATTGAAGAGAGAGAGCGTGAGAGAAGGAATGGCTAGAGGCTGCCGGAAATAACTGTTGTTGGAGCGGAGCTAAAACTAAAGAAGGGAAAAGGAAGAGAGTAAGTTAGAGAGGGATAATTGAAGTGAACTTGGGAGTACGTTTTTTGAGGAAAAAAAACTTTCCTTGTCCACTGTATCTAATATTTAAAGTTTCGATATATCTGTCACTTTTGCTGAAAAGTAAATCAGCTGCAAAAAACAAGCTTTATGAGCGGACGAAAATAGAGTCGCAGATTGTCGAAGAATAAAGCTCGGAGCATTGAGAGCAGTTGGAAGTAAGTTTCATATTTAAATATTATTTTGCAACACTCTCCTCCCGAACATTCCCCTTGCAAAAAGCAGACGAGGCAACCCGAAAGCGCAATGAACCATTAAAATAAAACTAACCAAAAAACACAGAGAACAAAGGCAAACAAACCGTTGGGTAGGACATAGACACATGCCGCGGAGGTGAAAGGATTACACACGAAATCCGACATAAAATGCATTATTTCATTTAGTCTTTTGGGTGGCCAATGGGCAATGTTTGGACTATCCACCCACGCCCCTTAAAATGTTCTATTGCCATTTTTGGGATTTTTGCATCGCTTTGCGTTTTACGCTTAATTATCGTTTGTTGTATTTTCTGTGCAAAAATGGAAGCTAGTGTTGGGGTCATGGAGGGCACAAACCACAAACGCATTCCCAGCACCACCCGGTTGACCCCTCCCGTCAGCTCTCTCATGTGTGGAAATTGCTGTCCATAGCCCTCCTCCCCCCCGCATGTCCTTCAGTGTTGGCTCTTTGTGTTGGAGATGGCAAGCCATTTCTCGTGCAGAAAGTTCTCGTCTACATGTTGTCGGTTTAGTTGCCATCTCTAGTGTGTGTCTCTGACGCTAAAAACGTTTGCATAACTTTGTTTTTAATGTAACCATGTTAGCTGTGTGCGTGGCGTGGCTGTCTGCTGAATGAACCACAGGCCCCACAGCAGCCCACCCTCCCCACTCCCCACACTGTTGGCCAACAGGTCGATGTCGTTGGGCTTAAAATTGCATTAGCCACCAATAAAAGGATCCATATCTGTCTGGGTTCAACAGCACAACAACAGAATGGATGGGGGATGGAAACGATATGTGTACAATAGATTGAAAAAGAGTGGAAGCGAATTTGCCAGCGAATTTGACTGCAGTTTTGTAGTCTTATTAGCAACAAATGTGTGTGTTTGATTTGCTTAGGGAAAATTTCCATTAATGTGTTAAATATGTACAGACATTTGTTATATTACTTATAGACTGATAACACACTCTGTATCTGTATCTACGTATACACGTACCCGTATCTGTATCTGTATCTGTCTGTGCTGTCATGGTTAGTCTTATCAATTCCAGCTACTTGATGGTTTCAGCAAACAAAAGAGAGAGCAAAGAAGAGAACGAGCACATGTTGGAAACAAAAACAATAAGTTGCGGGAGATAAACGGGAGAGAGTGGGAATAGCGTAGACAGAAAGAACCGATAGAGCGAGACAGCTGATGTTTTTCGCTTTGCTTTTCGCGTGTATTTGTTTGTTTTAGTTTTTTTTTTTGCTAATAGATTTTGTTTTTTTTCTGTTTATTGCCCAATAAATATTATAAATAATGCACATTTCGGAAGAAATATTAAATTGTTTTCAACATTGGCTGCGGCTAATGAATATTTCTAAATATTTATTTTATTTTTTTTCTGCATTGTCTCATTCCCTCGATACGCTCAACAAGGTCGACTGATATCAATTAAATATGTTTACTTTTGACCCTCTTGTGTTGTCTTTAAGCATTAGCATAGGGCCAGATTTTATCCGATTCGTTTTTACTTCTGTTTATTGCTGTTTTGTGGAGTATTACTGGAACAACTTGTTATTGTATCGCTTTGTCTTTGCTCACGTTTTTGTGATTTTTCACAATTTAATTGAAATTAATTGATTAATGCTGAAAACGTTTTTATTGCTTTCTGTGTTTCCGTTCCGTGCTGCGGTTCTGTTGTTCGACCATTTTCCGACTTGTTGAAAGTTTTCCGCCAGCTTCTGGCGCCCCCTGCTCCTGCCACTGGTAATAGTTTGCCCTTAACAAATTGCGCGATAATTTATTATGGAGCCGCCACACACACAAGGCACCCAAAGACCCCAAAGACCGACCGGCGAGCCAAAGAGACTTCATCAGTTTTGTAATTATCTCCGCTTTCCCCTCTGCTACCCGCCACGCCCCTTCATATTCTCCTATTTTCACACTCTTTAGAGATAAATTAGCTGCTCTTATAATTTGACAGCTGTGCGCGCGATTTGCGGTCAAGTTGTGAGCTGTGGAAATTTGTGAAAATTTCCCACTTCTATGGCAAAATAAATGTACTTTAACTTTTGCAATGAAAATCACATTCAACATGAATTTTGTATATCCATACTCTAGGGGGTATCTTTGCCGTTCATAATTGATGAGAATGTGTAACAAAAATCAAACATTTCTGTGTGTGACATATGGAAGTGGCTGTGGCTCTTGTGCATAACAAAATAGTTTTCATTCAGTTCATTGATATGCCCGTAAGCAACGAAACAAATTTTAAGTTTGGGTTGACTCAAAAGAGGCTGAAACATGTTGCGAAGGAAATGTGTTCAGCGAGAAGGAGATCAAAAAAACTCTACAACAATATTTTAATCATTGAATTATCTATTTTCGGCTAGTTATGCGCTTCTCTCTGGCCTATTTCGCATACAAAAGTGATATAAACTATCTGAAAGTTGGCCACAAAATGAAGTTTTATGAAGAGCGACATGAGAACACGTAGGGTAGTCAACCACAAATCGCTTAGAACCATCAATAGCCGCCCCACAAAGAGGGCAACAAAAAATACAATTTAAGGACCCACGACAACTTTAATGGCCAAAGGGCAAACACGCGACGGCCGGTTTATAGACAGAGAGAGCGATAGATCGAGGGAGATGGAGATGTATAGATACAGCCATATGAACAAGAGTTTGCAAAGAGAGAAAGAGAAAGACACTCGCACACACATGTTGCCAAACGCAGCAAAAATAGCTACTTGGCTAGAGGGCTGGGGGGAAGGTATAGGGATGGTTGAGCCGGAGCCAGGAAAGCAGAAAGGGTAAGAGGAACACTGAATGGACGGATGAACGGACAGTCAGTCGGTTGGTCGGTCGGTTGGTCGGTCGGTTGGTCGGTCGCATCGCATCGCATCGCACGAGTAAGTTGTCAAAAACAGCGGCGACGGCAGCAAGCGACAGCGGCAAACCCAAAGCGCCAAAAAATGTTACCCCAACTATCAAAGTGAAACTTTTCTGTGAAGGGTACACGGGAAACGAGAATCACAGAGTGCGAGAGAGAGGTGGAAAGGGCTGCGAAATGTTATAATGTAGATTATACACACACTCAAACACACACACGCTCAACCATGAAGTGAAAGAGGGAAACGCAACTAGGAAGAAAAAGAAAAAAAAACAACTAGATAAAGCGAAAAGTCTACATATGTGGAATAACGACTGAATGACACCCTATATATAATCGGTTATACATATACATATGAGTTTGAGTGCGCGGAGTCGCCCAATATGTAAATATTTGAAATTTTAAATCGCTTTGAAAAAGCGATACAAATTCAGAAATCATTAGAAAATATCAAATACAAGTATTATTGCTTTATAAGTACTAAATATCGGATGGCATTTAATTTAATTTGATTTATCATCATATGTACCAGCTGTACATGCATGCCCACGCTCTCTCTCACTCCGAGTAATGGGTGCCACAGGGAACACACTCGAATCTGTTTGTTTGTGTGTTTTCCCAGGGAGAAGAGCAAAGCGCAACGCAGTAGATAAAAGAATAAAATTCCAAACTAAAACTTTAGATACATTTATTTCAAAATGTAGTCAAGGCAGCCGTTCGGAAGTTAGGGGTATCATCAGCAGCAATGCAATTCCGTTAAATCTCTCTTTGTCTCACTGAGCCGTTTACAGTTGTACAAGAACTGGGCATACACATTGGCAATTAAAATGTAATTTACAGAAGTTGTATGCCCGCAGTTAATATAAAACTGTGAATATGCCATGAACAGAGGCAGAATGGAAATGGAAGAAACCAAAACAACAACAAGAAAGTGAAGCTTCAAACAGCTGTTGTTGCCAGACCGCAAAAGTTTCCTCTCTCTATTTTTGCACTGCAATTTCCATTTAAACTGTTATTATTATACTGTTTGCTGTTTCTGTGCATTTCAGTTGAACAATCTGCATTCCGATTTGTTCTTGTTTTAACCTGAACTGAATGAAGGCTTAAAAGGGTTAGAGTGTTATGCAGTTAGGAGGCGAGGTGGCAGCGTGTGTGACCTTTATGCCGAATTGCTTATTCGAAACTAGACACACAACCTCGAATGTTGTGTCAACATTGAAAGACAGCAAGGACGGACAGCAAATGTTGCACCGAGTATACAATTTGTTGCTTACATTGGAGAAGCTTTGTAAATTTTGTGGCTAATAACTATTTTAAATTGTTATCTTTTCTAAAATGTATTTCTGTATTTCTCATTTTCGTCAAAGTGTTTCCCATTTTCAATTATTTAATTCTGCTCAGTGTCGTATTACAAGTTATTTAATTGCTTTGTAGCACAAACCCAGAGCTGCAAAATGCGCAAATAAATGAAAAACTTTTTCAATGTGGCTAAGCAGCTTTCGAGTTGGCCAAACTTACTATGGTCATCGGTCACGGCAGCCAACGGAGATAGTTGCCAAGAGACAAAGAGAGAAATAGAAAAAAATGCTGGAGAGAACTCTGCAGAGAATTAACATTTTTTCCTGTGATGAAATTAAATCCTTAGTTCCTTAGTTTGATGTTTAATGCTAAAGGAAGTCAGTTTTTGTACTTAAAATGATTATTTTATGAATTGGTACCTCACGGCAAGTGCCCGAAAGTCCGTGGTGGAGCGGCCAGAATAACGGTGGTTAACCGCAGTATGCACACCATCCACACACACACACACATAACTCTCAAGGACACACTCACCGCCACTTGTGGGAGCGGGCTCACCCGTTTTAAAGTTGCCTTAAAATATTTAGCCTGGCAATTTGAGGCAGAGGCCGCTGCTAGTCCTGAAGAAGTCCTAGAAAGAAGATCCTTGGATGTCGAAAAGGAGAATGATTTTTTGGGGGCAACCTGCTGCAAATGTTATGCAATTTTATTAATGGAATTTTTATGTGTTGCACTTGCTCATCTTTACCTCTTTCTTCGCTGTCTTTCACTCTCTCTCTCTGGCTGCCTCGTTAAATGTTGGGATTTTGTTGCCACAAAATGAGCACAAAGGGCGGAAAAAGCTTAAAGAAGACCAAGAATAAAGAGCAACCGAAATAAGACTGTGCAAAAAAAAAGTGGGTTAGATTTTCCAACCACCCTCCTCCCTTGCTTTTGTTCCTTTTTTTCTCCATTTTCCTGTGGCAATGTTTGGTGGCAGCAACAACAGAGCAACCCACATCAATTTAAGTGAAATCCCAAAAACTATTATCATTTTAATCAAATCAAGCCAACAGGACAACAGCAACAGCAACAGCAACAGGAAGCTGAACAGCAATACACCCAGGAATAGGGCAGAAAATCAGCAATGTTTGGTGCTGTGCCAAGGGGGTAGGATGAAAACCAGAAAAGAAATACACCAAAGGAACAAAAAAAACCTAAGAAAGGCAAAGGAGAAATGAAACAACTTCTAACTTTTCACTTTTCCAAGTAAATTTTGATAGAATTTACAGTGGTCGATTCATATCTTAGCCGCTGGAGTTACTTTAATTAGAGTCTGCTACTCTTTATAACGTTGCCGTGCACTCAGAAAGGGTATAAGAAATCAGAGGAAATGAGAGAGAGAGAAAAAAAAACGAATGGAGCAAGGAAGAGCTAGAAAGCGGAATAAGACTGGGACACAAACAGAAACGACTGACCAAAGCAGCAAGTCAGCAGAACAGAGAAAACGAGAGAAAGCCAGACCCCCCCTGATGCTGGTGGAAGCCAGAAGGACTGGAAGGACTTAACTAGATGCTAGGCAGGGGCAGAATGAACTAGAACGACGACGAGGACGTCTCGTTAAAAAAGCAAACGCCAGGTGGGAACAAAACGTGAAGAGAGGAGACGCTGTGGAGCCAGAGCAGCAGCAGCTGGACGCAATGCAGTTTCTATTTTCATTTTTTTTTTTGTTCCTTGATGGTTTGGTCCCTGTCCAGGGCTGTCGTAGGGTAGCATACTTTATGGCGGCGTCGCTGTTAATGAAGCAGGAAATATGCGTCAGCATCAATATGTAGGCAGGACGAAGCGACGTGTAGAGAGGAGGCTTGTGTCTGAAAGCAAGTTGAAAGCTGGACAAGTCAAGGTGCCAAGTTGGCGCCGCACAGATAAGCTTTCCATGTGCAGATTATAGCTATGTAGATGGGAGGGAAGTGCAGAGTGGAGGGGCCAAAGTATGCCTCAACTATCTG